ACACGTATCCGGTTTTTCAGGCGGGGCCCAGGATTTGCTTGGGAAGGAGATGGCGTTTTTGCAAATGAAGAGAGTGGTTGGTGGGGTTCTGCGGCTGCAGGATGGGGTTGCACCAGAGTTTGTCGCGTATCTGACTTCCAAGATGAAGGGTGGATTGGCAGTGCGGATGGAGGAGAGGGGTGAAAATGTCAATATGTAAGTAACGAAGGTCTTTTTTGGTCTTTTGCTTCATCTGCACTTTTTTTAATAAAAAGTATAAATAAAAATATCAATTTTTTATTTTTTATTTAAAAAAAATTAATTTTAAAAGTTTTAAAATAAAAATGTTAATTTTTTATTTAAAAATATTAATTTTTATTTTTTATTTAAGAATAATTAAATAGTGATGTTAATGTAATAAATGGATATTTTAATCAAAATATTATAAATTGGTATCTTCATTTAAAATTTGATAAAATTAATATTCTTAAATAAAAAATTATAAAACCAACATTTTTATTTACCCATTTTTTCTTTTTCTACCATGAAATTTGACCCCTTATCCAATTATAAAACAAGGCCATTAAATGGGGAAAAGTCTAATAGCAAGAAATTCATCTTTATCTAATGGTATAAATTATATAATTTGATATAGTTTGAATTATATAGTTTAATATAGTTTGAATTATATAATTGTGTAATATTTTTTTATGAAATTTTCTTAGAGAAAATTAAAAATTAGAAGATCCTCACATTTAAAATATTAAGATTTTTTATAGAATTATTTAAATATCTTTAATAATTTTATTGAGAATCCTAGCATTTAATTACTAAGATATTCTAATTTTTATAACCTCATTTTTTTATTTTTTTTTGAAAAAATATTATACAATTTGAATTATATCAAGTTATGTGATATTAATTATAACACATGAGAAATCTTAACATTGAGATCATCCCTATCTAATGGTCCCTTTTTGCTATTCAATACAATCTAACATGCAAAACAAAAAATTCCTGAAAAAAAAAATTTAACATTATCTATATTTTAAAATTTTTTTTAACATTTTAAAAAATTAATAACATAAGGCATGGTTAGGGTTAGGGACGGTTCAATTTTGATTTAATTAAAATCAATATTTGAACTATTCATTTTTTATTTTCTCCATTTTTATTAACCAAAACTAAACTAAAAATATTTATGGATTATAGTTTAGTAATCAAAATAATCAGCTTTAATATTTTGGTTATTAATTTTAACTAAATTAATAGTAAATGCCGATTTCAACTTTAATAATGACTATAATTAACCAAACTTTAGAATTTTAAAAGGATATAAATATAACAAAATGTAAAAAAAGATGGAAAAATAAGAGTAAAATATGAATGTTGAAGTTTATTTTTTTTACTTTTAGATATATTTTAAATTTAAATACTAAATTATAACAAAATTTATAAAGTAAAACTTGAAAATGAAATTGAATAAGATGATTTTTATGTTTATTTATAATATTTAAATAATAATTATTTATTTATTAATATAAAATTTTATTTTTTGGTTATATATTCAATTTTAATTTTTAAATCTTTTAACCATTAATTGACAAAAAAATTTCAATTATCTAACTAAAATAAAAAAAACCAATAATTATTTATAACTAACTATTTGATCAATTTTTTATTGATTTTTTATTTCCCATTTGGTTAATTAACTGTTGCCCAACCCCGGTCATGACTCTTATTCTTAGGGCCCGTTTGATATAATAGTTAAAATTCAATAGATAGTTGATAGTAGGTAGCATATAGTAGATGGTGAAAAATAAATAGTAGATAATAGATAATAGATAATAAATAGCGAATTCAATTAATATAACTATTTA